CATAAATCTTAGCATTTATTTTTCTGTAATGATCTCACAACATACACTAAGCAATCTCTAATGATTTACACACTGGACAAGGAAGTTGAAGACAACATTGGTTTTAAGCTCTGGTAGCGTAGTGGTTACAAATCGGGCTGCAAACCTTAAGGTCAGCAGTTTAAAACTACCAGCTGTTCCACAGAAGAAAGATGAGACTTTCTGCTCCCGTAAAGATTATTTACAGCCTCGGAAATCCAGTACAGGGTCGCTATGAGTCGGAACTGACTCAACGGCACACAACAACAACAACAATTGTTGAAATGAGAAATATCAGCAATGCATCTGTTGAAATTATTATTATTAATTTCAATCCTTCTACCGTCGACAATGTGACCAAATTGGTACAAGTGGTAGCCTTATCCGTTGTTGTTAGGTGTCATCGAGTCATTTCCAACTCTGTGATATTTTGCAAAACAGAATGAAACACTGTCCAGTGTTGTACTATCCTCTCAGTTGTTGTTATGTTTGAGTAGACATTAACTCCTTTACCTGCCTTATTATGATATAATGGAATAATACCGTAAAGCAACTTTGAACACAATGCAAAATTAACTTGGTGCCATAGGCACCAAAGAAGTCTTATTCATCCACACACTTGAGCTCTGAAGAAAAACTGCAGATATAAGAGACCACCTCCTTGGGAATCATGCCAATGCCTGCCTAATGCAAAATTAAGGCAGCTAAAATCCCAGGGGAGTTTCCTGAACCATCAAATGTCTGTTTGTTATTCAGTCTAGTGGGATGTCATTTTGCTAAAATACACTGTAAGCCTTCAGTTTTTTCTTTTTGAGGGTAAGATAAAATTTTTTAAAATGCTGTGTCAGTTAAAAGAAGCTGCTAGAATTTGAGGGCTGCACCAGCAAAAGATTTCCAACAGAGGCAGTGTGAAGACACACATCCTGAAATGTAGGGAAACAAAGTGGCAAAAGTCATTTTACCTGTTATTAGACTTGAAACCTCATATAAAATTATTTCTATGTGCTGTCCAGTGACCCTGTATAGGGTTTCCCAGTAGCTGGTGAGTTTGACTTGCTGCCCCTTGCGGTGAGTAGTGCATTCCTGGTGCGGCACTGTAGGATCCATACTGGACTGAAAACCATAAGGTCAGCAGTTCAAACCCACCAGCTGCTCCTCAGAAGCCCTACACAAGGTCACTATGAGTCGTAACCAACTTGATGGCATTTAACAACAACACTTACCCTACATCACCACACCATGGCTCATCAAATAAAATAATGATCACTAAATGATTTGTGGAGTCCTGGTGTAGGATAAACACTGGACCGCAAAGTCGGATTGAACCAAAGGTCGGCAGTTCAAACTCACCAGCTGCTCCTGGGAAACACTGTACAAGGTTTCAATGAGCAGGAACCAAATTGACGGCATTTAACAACAATAACAAATGAATTTGTAGGGGTTCTGGTATGGTGCTACAGGATAAGCACTGGGTTTCTAAACACAAGACTGAAGGTTCAAACATACCAGCCGCTCCTCGGGAACTCTATAAGTAGAAAAAGACTCAATGGCACTTAACAACAACAACATAAATGAATTTGTAATAAAGAATATGCTTACTGAAAAAGGAAATATTTTCAGTTACAGGGAAATGAAAATGGAGTACCCTTCAAGAAAATATGTAACATTTTAGAATTAAATCTTGTTACTTTGAACACGTTTAGAAATGTTCTAGAGAAGGATCGCAGTTCTAGTATCCTTGAAGGCCACCATTAGTGTGAGAGACCAGGGAAACAGAAGGTTAACAACAACAGAAAGAGGGGAGAATACAGATGAAAACAATTTAACTAAAAAGCTAAGCAGGCTATTCAGAACCCTGGTAGAGTACTTTCTCAGACTTGATGTAGTGCTCTATCCTCAAATGCACATTATACTTACATATATGTGAAGTTTAGAAGACAGTGATAGTGATAAATCCTGAAAGCTGGAGAATATATACAGGGTCTCTATGGGTTGAAACTGACTCAGCGGCACTTTATAATAACAACATTTACAGGTACATGCAATATTAATAAATCTATTATAGAAGCCTGTGACATTATTTTTTAATTTGGGGTTAAGACATTTGGAATCCTGGTGTGGCACTGTATGATAATCAGCAGACTGCATGGTTGGTTTGAACTGCAAGGTCAGTGGTTCAAACACACCAGCAGTTCCTCAGAAACCCTATACAGGGTCGCTATGAGTAAAAAACTGACTCCACGCCACTTAACAACAACAAAAAATTTCCCTCATTTAGGGTGCTCAACAAATATCAATGGCAAGGTGGTTCACAGGGAAGCTAATAAAGCTACCTGGACATAGATTTTGACCTCGCCTGGTAAGTTAACACTGAAAAAGACAGGCCTTTGGCTTCCGTTAGTATTACTCTGGTTGTCTCACCTTTAAATCCATCAAATCCCTTGATCTCTATAAATCTATGAATATGATTTTATACCATTTCTGAGTTAGGGGAAATGACTCATTCCTCTAGTATTCACCACATTTTCTAGATAAGATTCCTTAAATGCACTTTAGCAAGAAACAATCTAGAGTACTCTACACACATAACTATCCAAATATATCATTTAATATGGTATTTTACAACAAAAACTATTTTACATTAATTTGAAGAAGCCTCAGAAACGATAAAAAGGAGGTATGTCCTTCCTTTTAAAAGAAACACTCCATACACCCTCAGCACAATTTTCCCACCAGATACTCAGAAATGGGCATCTGATTAATTTTATTCTCTCACTGGATAGAGATCAGCAATTTAATAAACATGTTCACTGTTCACAAAGGATTAGTATACACCAGACCTTCTGAGACTTGAAAAACATGACAAGGTGTTTAACTCTATATATTATGTGTAACTACTGTACAGCACAGAGTGGCCACAACTGTACGTTTGCTCAAAGTAAACGCATTCACTCACTGCCATTCAAATACGAATTCACCCTGCAATGGACTGTGTCTGTACTCTCACCAGAATCTATATAAACAAAATCACCACGTCCAAAGCCTAGGAAAAGAAGCAGAAAATGGAAACAGACACTTCTGAGGCATTCTTTTTAGAAATGTCCACAGACATCGTTATCGAACTGAGCCTACAACTATTACTTTTTAAGAAGTCAGAAAATATAGACATACCATGAACTAGATTAAAGGCAAGAATAAGCCATATAACTATATGAGGAAGTTTCAAAAAGTATGTGGAAAAATTCCATTATCTTTTCATTCCATTTGCCAACACTTTTTAAAGTCACCCTGTATATGACACTCTACCACTCAATGATCAAGCAACTAGATAGCTATTAAAATGGTTTTAGTTGATATAATAAAATTATTTATTGATAGCACTAGGAAAATGTTTAAATTCAGTTGCAGCTAACTAAGTAAATGATAAAATTTGTTTGGTCCAGTTTTACAAACAACAGACTCCAAAACTCGAGAACTATAATAAGGGGGCAGACAGGTACCAAGTCCAATATGCTGCGTGCCCTTTCTAAGGACATGTAACTACACTGCCAGCAAACTGCCATCTCCCTGTGCTATCGAATCATCCATGCAACCTAGCTTCCTTTTAAGTAAAATATTAAAGTCTTTATATATACACACACACACACATAGATATACATATATGTGAAGATTAGACTTACTGCTCCTGCAAAGATTTAAAGCTTCAAAAATCCTATACAGGGTCGCTAAGTCAGAATCGGCTCAACAACTCAACAACACTTAATAACAACATATATATGTGTGTTTTTGAGTTAATTCCGACTCATAGCGACCCTGTATAGGATTTCCGAAGCTTTAAATTTTAAGTTTGCAGGAGCAGAAAGTCTCATCTCTGTCCTATGGAGCAGCTGGCAGGCTTGGACTGTGGGCCTGTGGTTCGCAGTCCAGTGCTTCTCCTATGGAACCACTGTGTTCCCATATACATACACTAATGTAACTGAACAGCACAAGGATGGGGATTTACAACTGCTGGGTTTAGCTGTGCAGTTTATGGTAGCCAATTTATTTCTAATAATAAAGTGCCAGCATTGACAGATGACTTATATATATAAAATGAACATTCCCTACAATACATCATCATTCTCAGCCACTTGCATTCCAACATGCTTTCTTGAGTGAGAGTCAAAGGAGGAAGTTAGAACTAAGAGGTATTGGGAACAAATATGAATCAAAGCCTATCTTTTCTATGCAATCTATTCTAGTATAGAACTGGACTAGAATCATGAGTCAAAATACAACAGTAACTACAATAATCACAAAGGTAAAAACCACCAGGAAAGCTGGAATCACCTCACCAGCAACTAACAACCATGAAGAGCTAGGCATAAGTATCAACAACTGCTAAGATCATCAACAGAATTAACCTGATGAAAGAATACGTCACCAGCTACAGTCTTACTAAAGAAATCAAACTGAATCTGATCAAGTCCCTGGATCCCACTGTCACTCTTTGGAAACTCTATACAGGGTGGCTCTGAGTTGGGACCAAATCAACGGCACTTAACAACAACAGCACTTTAATCAAGGAGCCATGATAGCAAAGTGGTTACACATTGGGATGCTAACCGCAAGGTCAGCAGTTCAAATGCACCAGCTGCTCCAGGAGAGAAGATGAGGCCTTCTGCTCCCATAAACACTTACAGCTTCAGAAACCCTTTACAGAGTCACTGTAAGTCAGAACCAACTCAATGACACATAATCAGTACCACCACGAGTGCTTTATTCAGTGAGCCCGGGTGGTACAGTGCTTAAATTTGAACTCAACAGCAGTGCCATAGGAGAAAGATGTAGCAGTCTGCTTCTATAAAGATTACAGCCTTGGAAAGCCTATAGGAAACTTTATTCTACTCACAATCAACTCTACTACAGTGGGTTTGGGTTTGGAGTGCTTTATGCAGGAAAGCAGCTAACTTGTTCAACAAAGACCCCAATCTCCTACTCACTTTTTATGGCTGAGGGATGCACTGATGGGAGTAGGCACTATAGTCTGTAATCCTTCTCCTTCTATCTCAGTACCAACAAGGCAGATGAGCTGCAGTTCTGGTAATCCTACACAGTTTACTTCATGCCAACTTTTACCTGAAATTCAGAACATCATTGACTTGACAGTAATATTTATCAAAAGTAAAAGAACAAAATCCCGAACTTTCACATAATACTAAGCTGAACAAACATTCATAATAATATCTTTTCTCTTTACTTTTCTAATATTTCCTATTCCTACTCAAACTTAATTAATAAACTTAATGGCAAATACACAAACAGTTGCTTATTATGTCACCAATTCTATATATCAAACCAATTCCCAACTCCCATTCTGCCCCAATAACAAAAAAATACAAATAACTTACTTTCCATGAGATCCAAGTAAACCAAGAATGCTATATAAACTTGGGTGGCGTCTCCTATATCTAATTCCATCATCTCTACATACTGAAAATCAAAATGAGAAGGAAGAATCTTTTAATATTTCCTTTCATTTCAATCAACAACAGGTAAACCAATACCAAACCCCATGAAGTCAAACTTAGACTCATAATGACCCAAAATGTAGATGTGTAACATGTAATGTATACAACTCTTTTCCAGGTTTGTGGGAGTTACAAAGCAACATAAGATGGATCCTGGTCTCTAAGGAACTTGCAAATACTAAGGGAAACACATGCATATTTGTAATTGTTAAGCAAGTAATTATCTATAACAATAAATGATTAAAAGCCAAGCAAAAAAACATGACACAAGAGGTCAGAGAACCTCTGGTTAGGTCGCTTGATTGGTGAATGCTGCAGAGTAGAAGACAGAGGTGGAATGCAAGTCGGACCCTGAAGAACAAGCATAATAATGTGAGTAAACGGTAGAAATCGCTGCTGTTGCTTGGAGTTGGCTCTGACTCTTGGTGATTCTATGTACAACACACTAAAACTAAGCACAGTCCTGCACACCTTCATGATCGCTGTTATCATGAAATCCTCATTTGCAGCCACTGTGTATTTTAAATAGGAGCCCTGGAAGCATAGCACTTTAACGGTACAATAGGCAGTTTAAACACACCAACTGCTCCAAGGGAGAGAGACTTACAGTCAGAATTGACTTGACCAGAGACTTATAGTCACAATTGACTTGATGGCGGTGAGTAGATGGGTATATTTTGAGTGCCTTCCAATCTACAGGGTTTCTTTCCCAGTACTATATGAGGCAATATTCTGTTGGAATCCATATGGTTTTCCATGGACCATTCCAGACTAGGACAGACTAGGAAGAAAAGCCTGGCCAATAACTTATGAAAATCAGTCAATGAAAACCCTATGCATCACAACAGTCTGATCTGCAATCAATTATGGGGCTGATGGAGAAGTCGGGGAAGTGTTTTGTCCCATTGTACCTTAAAAATATTAAGTGATTTAATTCTGTAATAATCCTATGAGGTCTAAGTACTATTATTATCCCTCTTTTATTAATGATAAAACTGAGGCACAACGACATTACGCAACTAGCCCCCCGCATTCAAACTCAGGCAGTCTGTTCATGCACATAATCACTATGCTGCCTACCCATGTCATTGTTTTTCTCATCTTTTGCAGGAGAAAGAAGGGAACAGAGCAGGGTGGAGAAAAGGATGAGAAAATAAAAAAGGGTAACTTTTCAAACTTCTAGCTTCAAATTTTTCCTTTTCTTGAATGTTTCAAGTGATTATCTGTGAATTATTGTTTTACAGGAGAAGGGTACAATTCTACTAAAGTACTAGACCAGTTCCTGAGATTACTACAAAATGTCCAACTCACTGAGTATTCATTCACTGCTTGGGACTTTACTGGCTCAGGGCAGCAATCCGCTAAGCAGAAGCAAGCAGGGAACTCTCTTTACTTGCTACTAAAATGGAGTCCTGGTGTGGTGCTATGGGTTAACGAGCCAGACTGCAAAGCCGTTTGAACTGCAAGGTCGGTGGTTCAAGCTCACCAGATGCTTGCTCCTCGGAAACCCTATACAGAGTTGCTATGGGTCGGAATCGACTCGATGACAACAAGAAGATAGAAAAATATACCTATAACGTGAGTAGCTATGCTTTGGGGAATAACCTATTCCAACTTCTGAAGAAATCTGATTAATTAGGAATCTGCATCTTTGCAAAATCAGACACCTACTCTGGGCCCATGAGCTACATACAAGTGTGATTTTGCCCAAATACTTCATCATTATGTTGCCTTTAAGTGTCGTCTACTCGCTTCCGACTCATAACGACCCTGTATAGGGTTTCCGAGGCTTTAAATCTTTGTGGGAGCAGAAAGCCTCATCTTTCTCCCTATGAGTTGCTGTAGGGCTCCAACCCGGACCTTGTAGTTCTCAGTCCAGTGCTTATCATAGGGAGTCACCACATTTCCAGTTTAATGTTTCTTCCATGACCCATAAATTATCTTGCATGGTTACGCTGAAGTTTAAATGTGATTATCCCCAGGACGAGTCCCAGTCGATAAAGTTTAGATACTTGTGATGATTACTAGTTAAGATTCAGAGAGGCGGAGTTTAGTGTCTTGCTTTATGTTGGTGAATAGCTTTAGTAAAGGGGTGGGGAGGTGTCAGAGTGATGGTTCCACTGGTTTAAACAAACAAGCTACAACGATATTGCCTGCGCAGGGAATGTGCACACACATAATCCACCCAAGCCCACCCGCACTCGCCCAGTAGGGTTCACACTGTTCCTTCGCCGCCACGCGGGGCAGTATCCAGGGTCCGATCCGGCAGTGCGGGTCCGGGGTCAGCCTAAGTTACAGGCAGGGAGCGCCGCCCCGCTTTTCTAACGCCTCCTGACCTTCGGGTGGGTTCCCATCCAAGCGTCCTCCGGAGCCCACAAGTCGCAGCCTGCGCCGCCGCCTATGGCGCCCCGGCCCAGGCCGCTGCAACCCGGGGTCGAATCAGACTCGCCGCGCTCCTCCATGCCTAGCCGTGCTGCGCGTCCGTGGTGCTCTGCGACTCGTGCCCGGTAAGAAGCAAGGGCTAGCGTACCCGAGTTCCGCCTCCCAGACGCCCACAGCCTCTGCGCGGAAGGAGTGGAACACTGGGGGAAAAGTTCGCTCAGCACCTCTCTGAAATGTACTCTAGTTTTGCTCCGCGATTATTCATTTCAAAACAAATTCTAACATGAACAAGGTTCAAGAGCAGCTTCCTTCCAGAAACCCTTAAACCTCAAGCCAGTGCTGACTGCAGTTCTTTTGGGTTCAGGTCTCCAAATCCTGGGAAAAGCCTCATTCAAGGACCTGTCCCATAGTGAATACGATCACTACGGAAGAAAGTGGAAACACGAAAGACCAGACATCAAGACCGTATTTTTAGGATGGACCCTATATTCAGAATTAGAAGAGCAAGAACAAACACAGGTTGTTAATTTAGTGGTCAAAAGGCAGAATGCAAACCATCATAAGGTCTGTGACCTGAAGACTATGATCAAGGACTTTCAGACACTCAGAGTCAGACATTTTAAGCATTTTTAATTTACTTTGAGTGAAACGTGAGCCATTGAAAGCTCCTGTTACAGTTTAACAGGATCTCTTTGATTGATGTGATGAGCATAGATTGTAGAGGGGCTAGATTGGAAGCAATTCAGAGCATTGACCAGGGCAAAAAATAACTGAACATTCAGAGGCTCACGATAGGATAGAACTTCTGCTACCAGTTGGAACAAACTAAGACACTATAGGATGAACCCTCCAGCAGAAAACAATGATAAAACTTGGACATCATACAAAAATCTGAATATATTGATCTTCAACAGAAGCAGACACACTGTGGAAGAAAGGGTAAAGTTTGCTTAGAGCATGGCAGGTGGAGGACTCTATAAGAAAGTTTCCTTCTTCTTGACCTTTAGCTTGGAACAAGTGCTGTCTAGCAGGCAGAATCAGCAGCAGTACAACTTCCCAGTTTTTCTGTTCATGGGGAATCAGAAAAAATAAAGCCAAATACAAAGAGATTGGAGACTCTCAGAAGGGTAGGAGCCAGAGAAGGGCTCCTTAAACTCTGTCTACTGTCCTCTCTGACAGAGCTCAAATGAAACAGATGCAAAGCATCTCAGTTCGGAACAAAAGATCTGTTCTGAGATCAGAACTGTCCATCAAAGGAACAGAGTTTTCTGTTCAAAACCAGAAAAGAAAACTTCCCCTAATATGATAACTCATCATAGAAAAATAATAAAATCCAGAATATCCTCAATTTAACTTTCATAAAGTCCAGATGCAATCCAAAATTATCCATCATACAAAACAAAATAAGAAAAACGATCACATTCTTTAGAGTCTGGCCCTGAGATAAATCAAATGTCAGAACTAGTATAAGGATTCCAAAGCTGCTGCTATAAAAAAAAAAAAAAACCCTGGTAACATAGTGAATTATGAGTTGGGCTGCTAACCACAAGGTCAACATTTGAAATCTACCAGTTGCTCCATGGGAGAAAGATGAGGCTTTCTGCTCTCTTAAAGATTTGCAGCCTCAGAAACCCAATGCTTAATTATGAGTCAGAACAGACTCCAGAGCCCTTACCAACAATTACAACTGTCCTCAATAAAGTAAAAAAGTAGACAAATAGGAAATCTCAGAAGAAAAAAAGTAAAAAGAACTAAATGGAAATTTTAGAACTGAAAAATTACTCTTTTGGAAATTAAAAAAAAATTCATTCTGTCTACTACAGCCAAATAGATATTACAGAGAAAAGATTAAGTGAACTTTAAGGTTGTTAACTGCCATCGAGTTGGTTCCAACTCATAGTGACCAAGGAGCAGGTGGTGAGTTTAATAGTCCAGTGCTTATTCTTTTACACCACACCAGGACTCCAAACTTTAAGGTGATAGTTGTGGTGGTATGCAGTGGAGTCAGTTTCAACTCATAGTGATCCTATATAGCATTTCCTAGGCTGTAAATCTTTGTTGTTGTTAGGTGCTGTCAAGCCAATTACAACTCATAGCAGCCTTAGGCACAACACAACAGAATAGTGCCGGCTCCTGTACCCCCCTCACAATCCTTATGCTTGAGCCCATTACTGCTGCCACCCTGCCAATCCATCTCATTGGGGAATTTCCTGTTTTTCACTGACCCTCCACTTTACCAAGCATGATGTCCTTCTCCAGGAACTGGTTCATCTTGATAGAATGTCAAAGTATGAGAGATGAAATCTTGCTTTCCTGGCTTCTAATTCTATCATGCAGTTTCCAGCATCATTTCTATCACCAAGGCTATGTTTACCAACTACTGATCCTTCATTTTTGTGTCCAACCTTCGTATTCTAATTTCCAATAATTATAATACATCTTGATTGCATGCTTGGTCAGTTTCAGTTTGAAGAATTTGGTAAAATTCTTCAATTTCATCATCACTGGCTTTAGTGGCTGGTGCATAAATTTTAATAATAATAGCATTAACTGGTCTTCCTTGTAGGCATATGGATATGATCCTATCCCAGACAACATTGTGCTTCAAGACAGATCTACAAATGTTCTTTTTGGTGATGAATACAATGCCACTCTTCTTGAATTTGTCATTCCCAGCATAGCAAACTATATGAATGTCAGCTTCATAATGGCCAATACCAGTCTATTTCAACTCACTAATGCCTAGGATATTGATCTTTATGAGTTCTGTTGCATTTTTGACAACTTTCAATTTTTCAAGATCCATACTTTGCGCATTACATGTTCAGATTATTAATAAATGTTTACAGCTGTTTCTCTTCATTTTGAGTTGTGCCACATCAGCAAAGTAACATCCTGAGAGCTTTATTCCATTCACATCATCATGTTCAACCTTACTTTGAGGAGGCCGCTCTTCTGCATTCATATTTTAAACGTCTTCCATCCTTCTGCACTATATCTGACAATGCCCCACTATTCTTCATAAGGTTTTCTGTGACTAACTATTCAGAAGTAGTCTGTCTCTCTTTCTTCCTAGTCTGTCTTTGTCTGGAAGCTCATCTGAAACCTGTCCACCCTGAGTGACCCTGCTGGTATGTAAAATACCTGTGGCATAGCTTCTAGAATCAGAGCTTCTAGAATCAGAGCTTCTAGAATCAAGCCACCACAGGAGGACAAGCTGACAGACGAGTAGTGGTTGATCTCATTTAGATGATTTTCTAAAGGAGCACCATTCTCAAAGGTGGCATTCTTTATTCAATGAGCTAATCTGTCATCTAGCTAACAGCTAGATTTGGGGGCTAGTTTCAGATCAAAGTCTAGACTATCTCAGGGTGTTAGTTGCAAGAAGTACTTCAGTCTTAGCCAGTCTAATAAGTCTGTTTCGTTGTTGTTATGTTTTTGTTTTTATCAATATGAGGTTCTGTTTCATGTTTTTCTTCTCTTCTATCAAGGTACATTTATTGTGGCAATTAAAGATTATAGTGCCCTCTTTGAGCATTTGATAGAACTAGACAATGTCTAGCAAAGACATTTATTGATTTATCTAATGCTGTTATAACAGAAATACCTTAAGTGGGTGGCTTAAAAAACAAATATTCTGTCAGTTTAGCAGGCTAGAAGTCCAAATTCAGAGTGCTGGCTCTAGGGAAATGTTTTCTCGCAGTGTTGGCTCTGAAGGAAAGTCCTTGTCCTATTTCACCATCTTGGGTTCAGTGTTCCTTGGAGTGCTACAAATGTTTTGGCATTAGTCTTCCCCTGGATCTATGAGCTTCTCAGCACAGGAAACTTGACTCAAAAGGACAAGTTCTTCACCCAGCTCTTCTTTCTTGGCGGGTGGTGGTTATGTGCTGTAAAGTTGGTTCCGACTCATAGCAACCCTGCACAGGGTTTCCGAGGCTGTAAATCTTTACAGAAGCAGAAAGTCTCTTCTTTCTCCCGCAGAACAGCTGGTAATTTCTAACTAGCTGACCTTGCTGACAGAATCCTGAAAGCAGCTAGGGAAAAGAGAAGTGTAACATACAAAGGCAAGCAAATCAGATTAAGCTCCGATCTGTCAATAGAAACCATGCAGACAAGAAGGCAATGGTGAGACATATATAAACCCTGAAAGAAAAAACTGCCACCCAAGAATCCTCTACCCAGCAAAGCTGTCAGTCAAATATGATGGTGTAATCAAAACATTCCAAGATAAACAAAAGCTAAGGGATTTTGCCAAAGCCAACCCTGCTATGAAAAATATCATAAAGAAAGTTCTGTGGACTGAAAACCAACAAGAACA